TTTTTGTTTTGTTTTGAATAGTGCAAATACAATGTGACGACATTTTACTTAGGCGCCCGTCGCTCACCTCCGTGTTCCGGTCCAGGTCGTCGCCGCCCAGCGACTGGCTGCGCTCGCGGCCGCGGCGCCGCCGGACGCGCTCCGTCTCGCTGGTCCGCCGCACCCGCAGGGGCCGCGTCGGGCCCGCCGTGCCCATCGAGCTCGTCGCGCCCGCGTACGGCGAGGACGTGCCGAGCGGCGGCGGGGCCTGCATCGTGGCCAGGTCGTCCAGGTCCGACTCGAACGAGTCGTCGTCCTCGTGGCCCTCGCCCTCCTCCACGAGCACGCACTGCTTGGGCGGCTCGAACACGTTGTTGTCGGGGCGCTCGGACCGCACCTCGGTCCAGGAGCGCACGGGGCGGCGGCGGGGGAAGGCAGGCCCGAGGGCGAGCCCGAGGGGCGCTCCGAGGGGCGCGCCCAGGGAGGGCCCCAGCGGGCCCAGCGCCGCCCCGGCCGCCGCCAGCTCCGTCGCGGAGCCCGAGGTCTCGGACGCGCCGCGCGCCTCCCTGCTCGGCTGGCCCTCCACCTCGGAGCGCTCGCTGAAGCGCCGCAGCCGGTCGCCGGGGCTGCCCTGGAGGCCGGCCTGCTGTACCTCCTGGTTGGAGCCCCGCAGCGCCGTCGCGAACGACACGGGCGGCTGCAGCGTCGGCACGTCGCGCCCCTGCGTCGCCATGAAGCGGTGGATGACGCCCAGGTGCGACACCGTCTGGTCCGACAGCTCCTCGAGCTTGCGCAGGTACAGCTCCAGGTTCTGGTAGGCCGTCGAGTGCGCGTTCTCCTTCTGGATCACGTCCTCCACCTTCTGGCTGATGTGGTCGACGCGCTCGTTGATGGCTCGCACTCGCTCCTCCATGCTCACCTGCAGCTTCATGTCCTTCTCGCGGAAGTAGCCCTCCACGCACTCCTCCTCTGTGGCGGCCAGGCAGAGAGGAATAGGGTAGAAAATTAACAAAATTTTACGAAAAATAAAGTCTGGAAAGTTTTCCCGGAAATTTTCCGATTTTTCCCGGAAATTTCCTGAAACTTTCCAGGGCTTCCAACCCTAGAGAGTTGCTTATGAACGAGGCCCGGGGCGATACGAACGAACACAACTTTCAACAAAAACGGCCGGGCGGGATCACTGAATATTTCATCAGCAGGCTCACCAAAGTCATGCAGCCGCTCGAGGTCGTCGTTCTCGAGGAAGAGCTTGAGGCCGTTGTCGTAGGTCTCGGAGCGCTGGCCGCGCGCCTTGCGCAGCAGGAACTTGACGAGCATGTAGATGTGGCTGAAGATGATGAAGGGCGGAGGCAGCACGGGCTTCTGCTCGTACTCCATGACCACGGTGAAGCGCTGGAACATCCAGACCTGGCGGGCCGCGTGGCCGCGGAGCGGGTGAGCGAGAGTTGGGCGTCGAGCTCCAGGGGTACTTCACTTTCAATACAACCGTACACCAACTTTTCTTATTTTTTCTTGGTTACTTTTTTCGAATAGGCCACTAACCTGGTGCGAGATGGCGTTGACCTCGTTGAAGATGTTGTTGAACACGGCGATGAGCAGGTTGATGAGGAGGATGTTGGCGACGAGCAGGTACAGCGACATGACGACGGGGCTCACCCAGCGGCCTGTCTGGCACGGGGGCATGTCCTTGCCGCCGCACGGCGGGTCGATGGCGTCCGCGAACACCTCGCCGTACAACATGAAGTAGGGCTGGAAGAAGATGTCCTTGACGAGGTCCCAGCTGGCCTCGTTGTCCGGGAACAGGATGGCCTGCCGGCACACCCCGAAGCTCACGAGCACCACGAGCAGCAGCACCACGAAGTAGATCATGTTCTTGACCATCTTGTCCATCATGGTCACCAGGGGTCCTGGGGGCACGCAAAGAGTGAGTGAGTCCCGCCGTCTTGCCTCTGGACGCCTCGGCCTCGGGAGCGCCCGCCGAAGAGCGAGTAGGCTCGCCCGCAAGGCGCGGCTGTTCGGCGGGCCTGCCCGCCCACCACCCGCCAGGCGCTCCACGTGTACACGCTCGAGGCTATCGGCAATCCCTCCCGTCTAGGGTTGGAAATTTCCAAAACTTTCCGGAAAAACGAAAAAAATTCCAGGGTCTGGGAATTTTTTTGTTTCATTTCGGAAAATTATGAGAAATTTTCCGGACACCTTCCAGGGCTTCCAACCCTACTCCCGTCCCGCCGTACCGAGGTACTTGTTGACGCTGAGGATGGTGAATATCCGGAGGTACCAGTAGATGATGTCCACGCAGAATAGCAGCCTCCCGGTGGACATGAGGGCGCTCTGGAGGCGCAGCACCAGCCCCGACAGGAAGAACAGCACCACCACGATGTCGCACGGGTTCCACATGTTCCACGCCCACACCGCCAGCTTGTGCCTGCGGAAGGCAAGAAAACGCAGTTAAAAACAATTGTAAAAAACAACAACAACAACAACAACAACAACAACAACAAAAAACAGCAAACAACTACAAAAACCGCGAAAAAAAATGGACTCGCCTTAGCCCCACGGGTTCGGCGGAGAGGAGTTCACGGATCTTCTCGAAGCCGAAGGCCGTGATGTAGCCGATGACGTATAGCTCGGGCCAGGACGGCATGGAGGGCATGCGGACGAGGACCACGTAACTGAACGTGTACAGGAACACCATGTACGCGATCTGGGCACAACAAGTGTGGGGAAAAAAATCAGGCACATCCATAAAATTAAACACGAGTAGGGTTGGAAGCCCTGGAAAGTTTATGAAAAAATCAGGAAAATTTCCGGAAAAAATGGAAAATTTCCCAGACTTTGGAAAGTTTTCCGTTATTTTCCGGAAATTTTCAGGAATTTTTCGGAAGTTTCCGGGAAAATTTTGGAAATTTCCAACCCTAAACACGAGCGAATTTCAAACACGCACTGCATTTACAGAGTGCACCGAGAACTTCACAAGCAAGCAATCCCACTTACAGAGTGGCCCCAGAACTTGCTGATGGGCGCCGTGTAGAACTCGTACAGCTTCTTGCGCAGCTTGAGCGGCCGCTCCTCCTTCTTGATGTCGTAGAAGTCGTAAGGGAACTGGAGGAGGGGGTTGGTCGTGCCGTCGTCGAGGGTCACCTTGCCGTTCTCGTTGACCACCGACTCCCTCGGCCCCGGGTCCATGATGAGCACCTGTGAGGAAGAGCCAAGGACTTATTAGCAAACGTGGTGATCTTTTCCTTTCTGAGTCTGCCCACGGCATGCAATTAAATTGTACGGAAAGTGAAGAGTAGAATGGAGAAAGAGGAACCGTTGTTGACAAAATTGTGTTGAAGTTCAAATATTGACACTGGATTAAATGATTGAAAAAAAACATCGTTTGCATGCATCTACAAGCAAGATATGGAAAAAATATTATCTACTTGATCAAAGTAGATTTCATTCAATAAACAAACTGCTGTCCATGTTCTTTACCAAGAGACTATTGTGTGCACTTAGTGTCTTGTTCTTACTCTATAAACATAAAATAATGGAAGGTGTAGGTGTTATCTACCTATGAAATTCTCATGCTCTAACAGTGAAGAAGAAAAGTAACTGTGGTTTAAATGCAGTTTAGATCACACAATGGATTAGGATAGGCCAAATAAAATGAAACTCAAAGTTAACACAACATATTAATGTCAAAACCTATGACATAAAATAAGTTAGATCAAAGTAACTTTCGCTATATTTAGGGTAAAACATGCATTTTTCTATTTTTGTTTTTGATCATTTCCTTTCTAACGGAAATATTTTTTTTTCTACAAAGCGGCACTCAGGCTATTTTGCGATACCTTTTTCTTTGCCTTTGCCTTTGGATTATTATTTGTAGAAGCAGCCTGCATCTCAAGAGCCTGCTTCGCTCTCATACTGAGCAATCGAGAGATTGGCTTTTTCTAAACAGAGAAAACACACACACATCCAACGGTCGCGGATAAATTCAAAAACCAACATACACCACATACATCACAGGACTGCCACCTCTCCTTCCTACAACAACTACACGAAACTGACTAAAGGTTGACGTTGTTTTGGTTCTGCTTTTTTTCGATTTCTTTTTTTTTTCGAGTGTGTGAGTGTCTAGGGTTGGAAGTTTCCGAAAATTTCCGGAAAAAGAAACGTAAAATTTCCGGGGTCTGGGAAATTTTCCACATTTTCCCGTAAATTTTAACTCCTTATTTTCCCGAAAACTTTCCAGGACTTCCAACCCTGTGTGTGAGTGACTGAAGTGCCGGAAGCGCTCACGCACCTCGATATCCGGCTCCGTGTTCCGGTGGAGGCCCGTGCCAGCGACCGGGCCGGGCCTCGAGCCTCCGCCGCCGCCGGCGCCGCCCTCCATCGACTCCTCCTCGTCCTCCTCGAGGCCGAGCTGGTGCTCCTCCTCCGTCTGCGGCATGAGCTGCAGCTCCTCCCGCGACTTGAACTCGAGCTGCGGGATGTATGCCGGGCACAGCAGGCCCAGGATCACCTTGAGGTTCGTGTTCTTCCTGGTGCGCAGGCCGCCCATCCACAGGTCAGCCAGGATGATCTGAGAGCATGGATGGGCCAGCAGGGCGCGGTGGTTGGCGCTCACGGCCAGCGAGAGGCACGTCTGGCCGCTCCAGTTCTGCAGCTCGCACGTCAGCAGCTTCTGCGTCTGGTCGTCGTCCTGGCGGTAGCAGTAGTCGAGCAGCTCCAGGGCTGCGGGCCAAAGAGAGAGAGGGGGGGAGGAGGGCGAGTTAATGAGAAAACTTGTTGCTTGTCCAGCGACTGAGCCGCTAAGAGAGAGCGAGGGAGGGAGGGTCCACCCTCACCCGACTGCACTCGGTATAGTGCCGAAGGGCAGAGCGCCGCATAACTAAGATCAAAGAGCAACACAAAGGTCGAGGGGGAGGGACTGACTCACCGATGTTCTCAAACTCCTTGCCGTAGCTGCGCAGCTCCTCGTAGATCTCCGCCTCCAGGTCGTCTTCGGCCGCCTCGTGCGCCATGGCCTTGTACAGCTTGGCGGCCACGAGCGCCTTGGCCAGCGCCTCCTCGCCGTGCTGCCACATGAGCAGCGCCATCTGCTGGCGCTTGGTCAGCACGGCCCACGTCTAACAGACAATGCAATCACATACTTTCAAATATGCATAAACAAATTACATTGATTGTTTTTTTTTTTTTTTTTAAGTTTTCAACTAGGGTTGGAAATTTCCTCGGAAATTCACAAAATTTTCCGGAAAATTTCCAAAAACTTTCCAAAACCTGGGAAATTTTTCAGTTTTCCCGAAAATTTTCCGTCTTTCCCAGAAATTTTCCTAAAATTTTCCGGTAGCTTTCCAAGGCTTGCAATCATATTTTCAACAGATTATTTTTCGTGTGATTTTGAACAAAAAATCTACTTTTTAAATTTTTTTCTCATTTGTTTCTTTTATGTAACTGTCATACTCACCAGCAGCTCGTTGAAGGGGTGGTCGAAGTAAGGCATGTCCGGCGAGGACGGCAGCGTCTCGGCCAGCAGGCTGAGCGTCGCGTTCTGGTTGCCGACGTAGCGGATGAAGGACGAGCTGTTGCGCTGCACGTGCGGCGACTTCTTCATCACCTTGGTGTAGATCATGCGGAACTTTCTCCGCGTGTAGTGCGCCCTGTCAAGAGTGAGCCGCTCCAACAGTTATTTATGAAAATCATTATAAAAAACAAAACAAAACAAAAAACACCTTGCTCGCGCTGACACTGACCTGTAGGCGCCACCCATGAGCTTGTTGATGACGAGCCCGATGTCGTGCAGGGTGTAGACGTAGCCCCTGGGGATGTGCGGCCTCACGTCCCTTAAGATGTACCCCAGCGTGTTGCTCGGACCGTTTTTCTGCGCAAGCCGTAGACACACGCTGAGCTACCGTCACCCTCCCGTTAACGAGAATACGTCCCCGTTCCAGGAAGTTACACTTTACTCACGGAATTGTACAGCTCCTCCAGCCTGGGGATGGTGAGGAACTTGCGCATGCTGACGCCGTTCTCGAGCAGCAGCTTGACGAAGTCCAGGCGGTCGTGCTCGAGCGCCTGCATCATGGCCTCCTCCAGCGCGCCCGGCGGCCACTCCTGGCCGTACACGAAGATCTCGGAGCGCGCGATGTCCACGCGGTTCCAGGTGAGCGCCAGCTGCAGCTGCTCGGACGGCGACAGATGCTGGCTCTTGAACAGCGCCGTCAGGATGGTCTGGTCCAGCTCCTGCACAGCCTCCTGCCGGTCGCTCATGCGGAACACGGTGATCTGGAAACAAGGACGAGGACGGCGTCGTCATGATATATAGGACCGCAGCGAGGACGACGCCATACACTCCCTCCGGGCGGGCGAGGACACCCACCAAGTGCTTGTTCCTGGTGCAGGCGATCAGCTCCTGGTAGAGGCACTCGGCCTGCTCGGGGCCCACCTCGAAGATGCGCATGATGGTGGTGATCAGGTACTCTTTCATGTTCTCCAGCACCGACTGCTCGCCGTTCTCAGACGCGTACCTGCGCACATTACAGAGAGGGCTCCGTGAATTGCAAAGCCTGGAAATTTAAAAGACCGAAAATTTTCCAGGGAAAATTGGATATACTTTCACAGAAAAAATCGCAAAAA